CACGTCCGATATATTTTTTAACTATCTGTTTATATCTCTCCCGAGAAACGGGGTCTAAAGTTGCACAATAGCTGCTCTCCTGACTCTCCACAGTGTCCTCCATGTTTACTTCCGCCCTCCACTCAAAAATCGCGCTGCCTCCGCACGTCATCAGAACCACGTGACCGCAACCCAACTATTCCCTTCCAAACATATTTTTAAACCAGCTTTCTCACTCTGATTGTGTTTAAGCTTTAATATACAAGGAGATTTTTCTGTATATTCAGATATTCATTCAATGTATTTGTGGTACTTTTCACATTCAGAGCTTAATTCAATATTTTCAAGGTTCACTCTAAAAGTTCAAGGCTCATTCCACACATTTGAGTTTTATTCAATATGAACAAGCATTTTTGAAATCATGAACCTCCCACCACTAGTAGGAGCTGTGATGCCAATGTTTAGGCTGTTATTTAATCAGTGACATCAGCAGACAGAATCTGGCAGTAGAGAGAAAGAGCCAAAGATTTTTCACCTGCTGTCTTATTGATTGAATCATTTTGGAGTTTGTCATCTCTGAGTTTGTTTACCTGAAAGAAATATTAAATCATATTTGAAACAGTGGACATCTTTGGTTGCTTTTGGTCATTTCATTTCATTGCATGTGTCGAGACAAATGCTCTGCTGTGACAACCTCAAACTGGTAGATAACTATGTCATTACACTCAGTGTTTATCAGCCTTTAAAGCTCATTTTATTTGTTGAGACTTTATTCCTCCAGCATCAGGCTCGTCCTCTCTTGGCTGACAAATACTTATTCTTATATAACGAAAGGGGATAGAAAGGATGATCATTTTCAATTGCCTAGATACAACAACAAGAACACATGGAGAAATAAATTTCCACAGTTTTTTTACTCATCAAGAAGAACAGCATAAAGGATATTCATATTTATTTACTATTGAAGATTTATAAAATTACAACAAATGTCCAAAAATCTAATAACCAGCTGAAGCTTCTTCTATTGTTTAATATGGTACTGCATGAAAATAATCAACATAAAATATACCAAAAAATTAAACTGCTTCAAAATTTTCTATAACCTGAAGAGTTACACGGCAGCAATTCATACTACACATGTCAATGACTCACAAAAGAAACAAAATGGAACGCAATCCCGAAAGTAAGAATTTATAAGATAAATTAAGAATTCTGTCTGTGACTGTAAAATGTTCACAAATTGACCATAAAATCTATGAATATCTGATCAGTTAGAAAATCATAAGCAGTTTAATCTGGATTCTGTTGCGCTCGACTGAGTACATTCAGATCTATAAGCATCAGCACACACACTGGCATTCTCATCTCAACATTTAACTAAATGTACAGAAAATCTTTTATCCATGGAGCTCTGTCACAAAAACACAAAAAAATCTCATAAAATGCTGCAGGAAGATGTTTCAACTGCATCCAGAAGTTTTTGTATTAGGTCACTTATTTCTGTTTCATGGATTTTCTGCAGGTTTTCCTTTTCATCCGGGTTTTTTGCAATCTTCATTTGATCCTCATGTTTTGTCAGCAACTCTTGGATTTTTTTCACGTTCCCTCTCTTCTTGGAAAGACATTTTATCACAGCTTTGATTTCTGCTTGATGTTTTTCTCTCTTTTGTTTTTCCTTGTGCTCAGCCAGAGCCTTTAACAGGTCATACTTCTCATCTTTGTCTTTAACCTTCTTCTCGTGCTCCTCCTTCTGAGCTGCAAACTCTTTGTTGTGTTTCTCTTTGAAATCATTGAACTCTTCAGCTTTCTTTCTGGCCTCATCTTCATGCATCTTCTTCAGCTTTTCCACACGTGTTTTATAGTTTTCCTCCAGCTGATTTCGTTCTTTCTTCTCCTCTTCTCTCCTCTTTTTGTCTTCTTCTTTTCTTTTCTTTTTATTTTTTTCTGTTTCCTGCTGTATTCTTTCTTTCTCTTCTTTCAGTCGTCTTTCCTCCTCCTGTCGTCTCTGTTCATCTTCTTGTCTTCGTTTCTCCCACCATTCACTTCGTTCTTTCTCCCAGGCTTCTTGTTTTCTCTTCATCTCTTCTCTGCTCTCTTCCAGCTCTTTGTTCACACTTTTCCTTTCCTCTTTTTCTGACTGAATTTCTTTGTCCAACATTTCAAGTTGTGTTTTTAAATGCTGTCTGTATAATTGTTCCTCATTTTTCCATTTCCTGTTCTCTTCTTCTCTCATTTCCTGTTCTTTCTTTCTCTCCTCACGCTCCTTCTTTATATTTTCCTCCATCTCCTTAAGTTTCTGGTCTCTTTCCTGCTGAAGTTTTTTCTTCTCTTCTTCCATTCTTTTTGTCATTGCTTTCATTTCTTCCTCATGTTTTCTTTCTAGCTCCTCTCTCTCTCTCTTCATCTCTTCTTCCTTCTCCTTCAGGATTCTCTCCATTTCCTTCTTTATTGCTGCTTCAGCTTCTTCCAGCATCTCATTGGTGAAGCAGTTTCCTCCATTGTCCTTCATCATGGTGTCAATCTTTGTTATCAGCTCACTGACTTGTTGGCGGTTCTCTTTGTCTTCATTATTGAACACATGGTATCTTCCTCCACAGTCAGCAATCAGCTTCTTAAAGGAATCATCACATCCGCTTTCAATATAATCTTTAATAGACATTTTTTTAAGCTTATCTCCTTCAGTAAAAAGAATGATGATGAACTTTTCTGAATTCTTCCCAAAACCTTCCTTTATGAGTTTTAATGTCTCCTTATCCTCTGGTGTGAGACGACCAATTTTTAACACCAGCAGGAAGACATGTGGTCCTGGAGCCAGAAGACTGATGCATTTCACCATCTCCTCATGAACTTCTTCGTGTGACAGAGTTGTGTCAAACAGACCAGGAGTGTCGAGCACAACAACAGGACGGCCGTCCACCTCACCATGTGCTTTCTGACACTGTTTGGTGACTGATGTTTGACTTGGCATTTCTTTAAACACTTCCTTTCCTAGGATGGTGTTTCCTGATGAGCTCTTTCCATTGCCGGTCTTTCCTATCAGCACAATCCTGAGAGGCTCCGTGTTCTGCTTCTCTTCATCACCTGTAAACACATGATTTTCTTTAAATGTAAACAGTTTATAAAGTAGATGTAAGAATATAATGTCGAACATGATTAATGATTAAAAAAACATTCAATTACTTACGAGTGACCATATTTTTAGTTATCAGATCAATCTGGGCTCGAGCAAATGTTACAGCTGTGTAGCAGCATGGTTTGTTTGTACATCTCATCTGCTCCACAGTGTCCAACAACGTGTGGATCTGCTCTTTATCCTTGATGTTAACAATAACAGGCCTTTGTCCATAACGTTGACAGACCTCCTGGATATTTGGGTCTTTGCTTACAAAGTTAAGAACAGCTGGATCTGTAGGATCTGAGTCCACAGTGAACAGAATCATGGTGAAGTCATTGACTCGAGAGCTGAATGTGTCCTGGATGGTCTCTAACTCTCCCTCGTCTTCATCAGTGAGGGGAGCCACAGGTAGGACCAGGATGAAGGCATGGACACCCTCAGGATCACAGAGGGAGATACACCTGAGTGATTCCTCCATCACTGCCTCCTGAGGTTTTCCATACAAGGCAGGCAGCTCCACCAGGGAAACCCAACGTCCACACACCTCTCCCTGATGTTTAACACACTCTGATGAGTTGGAGGCTGAATGAAGCTCAGTCTGACCTAAAATGGCCTTGGCTGCTGACGTCTTCTCTGCTGCTCTCCTCCCAAACAGAACCAGGTTTAAAGATGGTTTGATCAGGTGATTGTATTGGTTTGTCATTTCCTGAATCTTCTGCATTAATGATCCATAGTTATCGTCAAACATGTTGTAGTGCCTTCCTCCACATTCTCTGAGGACTTCATTCACAGAGAAACTCATTTCCTTCTCATGTGTGATGACGACCATCGAGTGTTTAAAGGCATTGTGACCAAACAGACTCAGGATGAACTTCAGAGTTGTTCTGTTCTCCTCACTGAATTTAGAAGGTTTCACCAACAGCAGCAGAACATTTGGTCCAGGATGACAGAGACTCACACAGCTGTTCACTTCTCTTCTCATGTCCTCCTCAGACAGACTAAACATGTCTGGAGTTTTCACCACTGTCAGTAGTTTTCCTCTCCACTCTCCACAGGAGGCCACGGAGTGCATGATGGGTGATTGTCTTTGGCAGTGAAATCCTTGGTACCCAATGATCAAGTTACCAAGTTTTGTCTTCTTATCTTCACTTTTGCCCAGCAGCACAATCCTGAACGCAGACACTGTGATACAACAGACAGGACACAATAACACAAATTAATCTAAAATCACAACACTTGGCTTGTACGAGGAGATCTCTTCAGTCCTCGGTATGCTCAGAGAACCTTTAGTCTACTCATCGATTGACTTGGTCAAATGTGATGTGATGTGAGTCACACTTAAAGATTAAAATTCAAACACCAACACAGTTCGTCATTGTGTGTGAATGTGTTAAACATTTAAGGTTTTTGCACAACTGTTTGTTTAATGTCAAAGTTAGAATTATTAAGTTTAGTTTAAACAACCTCAGCTCACTGTAGTAGGCTTCTGCACAAGCCTACTAAAATATATTATTCATCCATTTTCTTCTTCTTATCCTTTTCAGCCGCACAGGGGCACTGGAGCCTATCCTAGCATAATTAAAACTGTTGGGTGTTCAGACATCATTTTACTTACTGTTGGTCAAAGGTGTTTTTCCAGAAACTTGAGGAGTGATTAATTTATTGGGCAATCCTGTGAAAATAAGAAATTGTTATGCTGATTATTGAATCATAGATGTTGTATATTCTGTGTATTTCATCCTTGTCAGAAGAGTTTCTCATCTTACCTGCAGCTTTAACAGCATCAATGATTGGAGTCTTCGTCTCCTTTGTTGGGGGGGGTTGTTGATCTTTTGATAAATCCTGTTCTGTGTCCTCAAAAGCTTCATAGCTGACATGCTCTCCATTGTTGTCCTTTGTAATTTCCCCCAAATGTGTTAACAGCTCTGGAAGTTCAACATTGATCCTCTTCAAGTATCTGCATTTACATTTTTTGATCATTTCATTTAATGCTGGACTTTTCATGAAGTCTTCAACAGAACCTGATGTCTCCTCTCTGGGTGCTGAGATCAGTATCAGTGAATGATCAAATGATTGATCATTGTAGCCTTGAAGGACTCTGCAGAGTCTCCGTTTGTGTTCTTCTGTAAAGTTTTCAGGCTGTACAAGCAGCAGGAACACATGAGGTCCAGGATCAGACCATTTTGCAAAGTCTTTTATAAACTCTGTCAGATCATGGTGGGAGGTGTCGAGAGGAGGCAGGTAGGGGGTGTTGATGACAGCAATTTTTTTGCCCTCCAGTGTACCACTAATTCTCACACACGATTTAGTTTTACTGGTGAACACAGTATTTCCCAGTAACAGATTTCCCACTTCACTTTTCTCAGTCCAGCTGCTCCCCAGCAGAACAACCCTCAGCTCAGACACTACGGGAAACAGAGATTTAGAAAAGGCCGCAAAACACAGACATGGAGCATACTGAAGAGTGACTCCTTTTGTTTCAGTAAGGCTTAAATCCAGAGGTTTTAGTTCTAACAGAGTGCACAAACATACTATTGTAAATTTACATATATTTTAAGTTCAGGCTGACACAGTTCAGTGTGACTCACTGTTTTCTGGCAGGACTTCAAAGCTGCTTCCTGTCTGGCGACGCAGATCTTCTGTGAATGGATGGATTGAAATTATTTTTGGAACAGGACTAAAAACAATGTTAATAAAGCACATGATGCAGTTCTTTAAGTAGTTTTTAAAAAATGACAAAAATTGTCCAGCCAAACAAATGTTGTGAATGTAAAAAAAAAAGATTGTAAAATGCCTGTAAAAAGGAAATAGATTGTATAGAAACTTTCCAAGATATCAAAATAAAAATTTGAAAATAGATATAAGAAATATGAAAATAATTGAACAATTATGAGAATACCAGGGATACCAGGATACCCACCTCAGCCCACCACCTTTCACGAGGGGAAACTCCAGCCCAAGCCTTGCGTTGAGGTGAGCCCGACTATATCTAGCCAGGACCTCTCAACCTCACGCACTAACTCAGGCTCCTTCCCTACCAGAGAGGTGACATTCCATGACCAATTGTCAGTCTTGGTAGCCGGGGATCAGTCTGCCGGGACCTCCGCTCCTGGCCACCGCCAAGCTCACAATGCACCTAACCTATGGTGCCTCTTGCGGGTGGTGGGCCTGCAGGAAGATGGGCCCATGTCCCTTCGTCTGGGTGTGCCCGGCCGGGCCCCTTGGCCACCCTCCCCAGGCCTGGCTCCAAAGCAGGGCCCCGGTAACCCTATCCCGGAACATATGTATATGTATACCCCTGACACATACGGGATCACTACAGGTTTTCCCTTAGGCAGCAGTTTTCCTTCTCTCCTGGATCAGCTGGAGCTTTCTTTAGGTGCCTTTGACAAAAGTCCAGCTGGGATAACCACATTTACTCAGGGCCTTCTTGATGTGATGTTCTTCTGCCTCCCTGGCCACTGTGTCTGTGGGGATGATGTTCGCTCTGTGTTGTAGGATCTTGATGACACCCAGTTTGTACCCCAGAGGATGATGAGAGTCAAACCTTAAATACTGATCTGTATCCGTAGGTTTACTGTAACCTTTTTGTGATTTCCTAGATGATTAAGCATGCATCAAGACGTTTTAAGTTCAGGTTTTGTTCCTTTGCAGCTCTTTTGTTATGTATTATTATGTAAGATATAACCTTTCAGGCTGGAGTTTGCTTATTCATTGAAGTCCTACTTTTTAGGTTATCCTTACAGTTGAGTTTCTGTATTTCTTTGCTAATCATCATTTAGTTTATAGGTTATTGACTATGTTCTGCATTTTCAAATTTTGTTACTGTCAAGTGTTTTATAGGTTATTTTGCTTAATTGTATGGACTTGTTATTAGACGCTGATCTTTTGTGATCTTTTGTATATTCCATTTTGTGTAGACTCTTCATTTGTTGTAGATTTTAGCAGTCATTATGGTTTGATTTCGTTAGTTCTGTGTTGTATTACTTTGTGTTGAGAGATGAATCAAACAAATAGAAACAAATAGTTTTATATAAATAAATTGGTCAAGTTGAACATGACAAAATACATGGAATTTGGTAATGGTAAGATATCTAGAAATCTAGCACCGATACAAATATGCACCAGGTTGCACTTCAACAGGAAGAGGAAGTGAAATGAGTGCACTGAGAGCACCACCAATCAGAAAAATGAGGATGGAACTGAAAGAAAACCTCAAACTAGAAAGAAAAGACTTAATTTCAACACCGTATGCAGTTTTTATCCATTGATGGATAAACTAGATTAAAAAAAATCTATCAGCTATTTGTTACCTAACAAACAAGTTGTACTCTTCATTCTATAAAAAGATAAATTAACCCTTTCACGCATAGTGGTCACTACAGTGGACAGCTATTCAAAGGCTGATTTCTTGTATTTGTGTCAGTGTTGATGGTATATTTGCACATAAACCACTACAATGGACACTGATGTTCCATTGTATTGTTCCAACACTCACTCACTATGTGTTAACAGACCTCTCTGCATTGAATCATATCTGTTATTAACCTTTTTTAGCATTAGTTATAAAATCTGATTGAACTCACCAGTTACTGTAGTTGCCATGAGGTCACACTGTGGGAAATATGAGTTATTAGACAAACAACCTAAAAAAGATAAAATCAGAGAAAATAATGCACCAGTTCATAATATAGGTAGCAAACCAGCTGGTACAGTAGAACAAAGAAAATAACAGAAGAAAAAATATTATCACTGTGCCTTCCTGATGATTTTATTTGATAATTCACTGTTCTAGGGAGCAGGCTACAACATGCTTCACTTATTGTGCTTTTAGTGCATAGTGCTGAATGGAGAATTGGTCAACAGACAACTGTGCAAACATCTGCGAAAGACCTTTAATTATTGCAAAATAAATAAATAAATAAAATTAGTAACAATGAAATGCACATCAAAACGTGCTCCATAATCTAAGTTATAGTCATTTTTATCCCATAGTTTCATTGATTAGTGTGCAATTAAGTCTTCCAATACTGATAATCGTACAATTTATAAATTAAAAACACAGCAGGCAGTTATTTGTGGAAGTTGCTGCAACTGCTGTCTTAAATATGGTAGCCATGAAGAACACAGTTCTGCCTAATTCCGTTTCATTTATGCGACTAGAGACCAGCTGCATATCTATTACATCTGTAAGAATTTATATTCATTTGTGGGCAATACAAGCAAATTTTCATTCACATTTGCACCTTCAGACTCAAGATATGAAGGAACATGTCTATATTTTATCACCTGAGAAGGAGCTCCTTCATGAAAGAACAGAAAATGCAAAGGAAAGAGATGCCACCAGCATCTAAATAAAACCTCATCCTCATCCTTCTGACCTGAAGGTTCATCTCCTGAACTGAAGTCAGGGCTCTAACACATGAAAACATGTGTAAACAGACATGGTTGGATTTCTAACCTCAATCATATCTGGAAAAATAAACTCCTGCTGTCTGCTGAGGTCTGCAATCACAACAACACCACGCTTCCAAGGCACGGACCCTACAATAATATGGCCATTCAGGAGGGGCTCAGACGAGCCGCTGCTCCTTCACATTGGAGCCAGTTGAGGTGGTTCGGGCATCTGACAAGGATGCCTGCTGGGTAGTGATGTGTCTGTCGCGAACGAAACGGCTCTTTGACGTGAACGACGCGAGCCGGCTCCTTATCTCGAGCCGGGGTTGTTTTTTTTTCTTTCTTTCTCTCTCTCTCGCACTTTTTCCCGCTTCACTCGCACGCGAGCCTTGTGCTTTGTGCTGGGCAGAGGGGGGAGGGGCGGTAGTTACACTCAGTAGCACAGGAACAGAGCGGGAGGGAGAGAGAGAGAGCCAGGGACAACAAGTCACATTAGAAAGGTATAGTAATCATCCACAACTATTTTCAGCTGCAGATGATAAAGGATTCAGAAAGTTTATTCATGCAGGTCCATATGACAGAGAATGTGCATCTTCTTTTTGTTTTCATATTTTAATTTATATTTAATTGTGTTGTGGTTTGCAGTGTTTTGTGTTGTTTCACTTTAAATTTGTTTAAAAGGAAAAAGCTGAAAATTTAAATAGTTAAAAGTTGAAATGTGAATAGTTGATTTTTGTATTATATGATTTATTTATTACATTTTATGTGGAGTGAATAAATAAAAGTATATTTACGGTGGCCCCTACAGACAAAGCACGTACAAACTCCAAACACGTACAAAACACAACAGAAGTGCTCCAGGATGCTAGGGGGCAGTGTTGAGCTTTGTACCGTGGCTACACAAGCCAGAAGTACCAACGACCGGATTTGGTGTGTGGTATAACAGGTAAATGAACTTTTTTTTTTTAAATTATTTGAATATATATGAGTGCTTGTGTATAAATACACAAACAATACACAATGCTTTCAATTGTGTAATTTAAGTGATCTAGGTAGCTCTGCTTTGGAAGTTCAGTTAACGCTAGAAATGTGTTTTGGAGTTTGTGTGTGCTTTGTCTGTAGGGGCCACTGCATATATTTATATATAAAAAATATATAAATATAACCACTTTTTTTACATTAGTAATTCCTTTTGTGCATAATTTTATATAATTGTTATTAATAAATTCATTAAAGCAACAAAGCAACCTGAAGAGCCGATTGGGAGCCGAAAGAGCCGGTCCTCTAAAAAGAGCCAAAAATCACATCACTACTCCTGGGCGCTTCCTGGGCGAGGTTTTCCGGGCAGACCCAGGACACGCTGGAGAGATTATATCTGGCCTGGGAAGACCTTGGTGTTCCTCCGGACAGGCTGGAGGAGGTGGCTGGGGAGAGGGAGGTCTGGGCTTCTCTGCTTGGGCTGCTGCCCCTGTGATCCAGCCCCAGATAAGCGGAAGAAAATGGATGGACAGTCTGTTACTGTTCTTATTATCTTGGAACAACTGTAACTACATAATCAGGGATTCTGATTCTTCTTCCTGGTTGTGTTTCACATTTGAAATCTAAAACGCTGCATTTACCATTTGCATGCATTTTGATCATTTTAAATTAAAAAAAAACTTTCTTAGTGTTGCAGAAAAGAAACCGGAGGGTCTCATTTTAACACAAACTGACAATCAGAGGATCAAATTCCACATTAAACTGCACAAATCGCGTCGTTGTTCTCGGGCTTTTTTCTGTATTTCCGTTTCAAACACTCGTACTGTAACTCCGAAATGACAACACAGGCACGGCTTCTTCAACACGGGCGCTTCGCTGCATTTATTGAACGCCGTGAAAACTACAAACATAAAACACAAAGGCTTTAAGCGCTTCAGTCTATCAAAAGTAACACTTGTGCTTTAACAACGAAAATTACCTCGTGGCCGCCTGCCACTTCGGAGGTCGTAGAAGAATAGCTTTACAGTCTTGTGCATTCTAAATTAAAACATAAAATAATTAGAACACCATACATTACAAATATTCACAATATTACAATACAGATAGCAAATACCTTATACAGCTGGTACACTAACCCGGCAGATAGCTCGCTGAACTCCTTAGCGTGATTATTAAACGTGGGCTCACAGCCTATTATCACGCCCAAACCTCACGATAATAGCGGTGTAACAAAACTTGTTCTTTGTGACAAGATAAACACACCTTTACAATATTGACCACAGAAATCTACAAGCAAGAACATTTTAACTGCTGGAACCATCTATTAAACTTCTTTATATATAAGCCTATAAGTAACGATATATTTCTGTGACACTTACACATACTTTGACCGAGTTATTTGAAAATCACGCTGTGTGCAGTCTGAGTGATCAGGAAGCTGTTTCCAGGTCGTCAGACAAATTGCCGAGATATCATTATGTCGATATAAATCTGACTAACCTAACAGGAATAGATTAGTGATTGATGATCAGTCAGTAATATCAACACTGAAGCTTCGTCTGGTTTAATGAGCAGCTCAGCAGCAGATTATTACAAGATCTTAAAGTATTTCATTGTCGGTTGAGTTACTCACCGGTTTAACCGTTTTGCAGCAAAACGTCCATCCGAATGAAAACGAAAGTGTTTAAGATGTTCCACCCCAAAAAAGGTGGA